CTAAACCCTAAACCCTAACCCTAAACCCTAAACCCTAACCCTAAACCCTAAACCCCCTAAACCCCCTAAACCCCCTAAACCCCCTAAACCCCCTAAACCCCCTAAACCCCCTAAACCCCCTAAACCCCCTAAACCCCCTAAACCCCCTAAACCCTAAACCCTAAACAGCACACGGGAGGCGGCCTCCGCCCAGCCGGGTGGCCGAGCCGGATGCGAGCAAGCAGCCGAGGCGGCCGACCTGGCTCCCGCCCAGCCGATGTCTCGGCTTTTTTGGGGGGAGTTTAGGGTTTGGGGTTTGGGGTTTAGGGCTTAGGGCTTAGGGTTTAGGGTTCAGGGTTCAGGGTTGAGGGTTGAGGGTTGAGGCTTTGGGGTGAAAGGTTTAAGGTTTGAGGACTGGGGTTTCGGGTTTGAGGGTTGGGGTCTAGGGTTTAAAGTGTAAAGGTCGGAGTTAGGGTTTAAGGTTTGGGGTTTAGGGTTTGGGGTTGGGGGGGTTCGGGATTTTTCGGACTATCAGGGGTGGGATTCTTCGTTTTTTCGGACTTTTGGGGTGCGCTTTCGGTTCAGGGCTTTATGACGTCTGGGGTTTGGGGATCCCTTTTGGAGGCTTGAGGGTTGAGGATTTAGGTTTAGGGTTGAGGGTTTAGGGCTTAGGGCTTAGGGCTAGGGCGCCTCGGCTTGATGTAAGACGGATTGCGGAGAAGTGTGGGAAGCCTTCACCTGGTCTCTGGGGGTGTTTCTGTGGAAGAGGGCGTCGATCTTCATGACCTTAAAACCCTGACAATGGGATTAGGGTTTAGGTTTAGGGTTCGGGGTCTAGGGTTCTCAGCGGCACTGCCTGTGGAGGGAGAAGTGTTTGGGGTGGAGGAAGGCGGGGGGGTGGGGGGGGGGAATCCTCACCATCATGGGTAGGTTCCTTTGTCGGGGTTGGGGTTTAGGGTTTACTTAGTGAGGTCGGTTTTGGGGATTTTTCTAGTAGGGTTTCTAGAGGATACTATGTAGACTTACGAAGTCAACAACAAGCTTCTAAGTACAGGAGCCTAAAGCATTCTCCAATTCTGCCCTTCAAACCCTCACGCACATTCTCGCATAAACTACACACGA